TGGATACTTAAACAATATTGGAAGACAGAGAATGCCGAAAAGGTTCGATAGAAATGGGTTAACGATTTGATACCTTCACTAAGTAGACAAACAATTTACAGAATATGCGATAAATTTGATGAAACCTGCTCCAAAAAGTGGTCAACTGGACAGTATTACAACCAGGAAAATGAAATGTTAGTGAGTCAAGCATTTACAAAGAGCATTCCCCCTCCCCCCCAAAAAAAATAATAAAACAAAGAGCTTCTATTGAGTTAGGCATTTCCCATAGATCTTTGAGTCACCTAATGCAATGTTTAGGTTTGGAAATGTGTCGGCCAAGATTGCCTCATGGGTTATTAAGAGATGATCTGGATTGCAGTTTACAATTCTGCGAAGTGGTTGTGAATGAAGACAAGGCCATGTCATCACTGGTAAAATTGTGTGGTTCGCTGAAGCACCTTTTAAAACTTTCAGATGCTGGAAATTGACACAACTGTGTCTACTATTCAGGAGAAAATCCCCATGTAATGAGAGAAGGACCGTTAAGTCAGCCAGGGACTACAGTTTGGGTGGGTGTTTTGTGTAAAGGGGTACTTGGACCTATTTTTTCCATGCAACTATCACACACAACCTGAATCTCATCATGAGGGCCAGTGTTTACCACAATCACAGAGACAGCATGATATTGATGGCTTCTTCTTTCAACAAGAAGGAGTTCCTCCACACTGTGTAGAAACAGTGGGTGAGTTGCCTAATGAACGATTACCCAACAAGTGGATAGGTCAATCAGGGCCAGTGGCATTGCCACCGCGATCACCAGACCTCACCCCAGTGGACTTCTTTGGAGAGTTGTCAAAAATAAAGTCTTCTCACAAAAGCCACATATGGTGGATGATATGATTTGCTGCATAAGTGAAGCATGTCAAGAAATTGATGACAATAAATGTGCCAAAGTGTGCTTGAGTATAGCAAGTAGACTACAACAGTGTGCACATAATGAAGGCCAGCAACTTGAGCCCTTACAAGATTGTGCCTAAGTGCACTGTGCCACTGTGATATTATTTTGAGTTAATAAAGCTATTGTAATCAGTATTACCTGCATGTCTTTTTTCATATGAACAACTGTCAACATACTTTTGCCAAGCCCTGTATTTATCAGGATTGTGTGAAACTTTAGCAAAATCATCTGCTACTCTAAACAATGAAATGTCATTGGGACAGTCCTCTGAATGAAGGAGTAACTGGCAATAGCAAAAGGAAAGCAGGCAGATTGGGGATCGGTAGCAAGTGGGGGAGTTGGAGGCGATAAGCAGCAGCACAGATCCTGTCCCTGGAAGAACAATTTACGTGCATGAAAACTAAGTCATCTGAGAGGCTGGGTTGAGAAAGGGTGCACAAAAGACCACAGCTGCACAATAATGGAGCCAGGGGGGTGGGGCTGCCTCCCATACCACAGGATGTAGTTTTATTGAACTGAAGACAGGAAGACAGCCATCTGCTGTTCCATAGAAGGTCTTGGGCCTAACTAGTTGGGGTGCAATTTGGGTCCCATCTGTCAGCATGTCTGCTTATATAGATCTGCCTTTTAAGTTACAAAATCATACATCTACAGACACAGCTTACGTTAGCAAATCATTTTTCATAGTGGACATTGGGGTTTTTCTTGCTTTTTCATTATGTGTAACCACTGCGCGTGCTTCCATGAATGCTTTCTTAGGCCCGCCCACTTTGGAAAAGCCGAATTATTAGATCCTAGCTATTATTGCAAATTGCCTTTCAAGTAACTTGGGCCAATTTATTCTCTCACCGGCTATGTTTGAGATTAACTGTTTCCACTGACATTCTTCAACACATTATCATTATTTTTAACTTTTCAATCAGGTAAGCAAATTTATTTTTTTGTCTCAAATTTGAGGGTGAAGCAAACTGTCTTGTTAAGATTATGTGTAGTAGTCTCGCTTCGGCAGCACATATACTAAAATTGGAACGATACAGAGAAGATTAGCCTGGCCCCTGTGCAAGGATGACACGCAAATTCGTGAAGTCTTCCATATTTTTAAGGAAAAAAAAAGATTATGTGTAGTGATATATCAGGGATGTTGTCTTTTAATACTCCCCATTCTCAAAATACTCTATTTCATCTCTCGAATTCCCTATTTCCCTTGTAATCTAAATGCTAGATTCTATCATTCCAACCCATGTTTTTAAGACCTTTTTTATTTGGGGGCGTTGCAGATAAACCACTGAAAGGTTGTCATTAGAAAACTTGAATATTATTTTGTTCATAATCTAGTTATAATACATTAACCAAATCTGTATTACATGGGTTTTTTGTTATTTTTTTTAGTAAATGATATAAGAACTTTACCCAAAACAAAGGGTTTCTTTAGGAAGGACCTCCCTGTAAATAAAACACACACACACACACACACACACACACACACACACACACACACACACACACACCTGCCATTTCCTTACTCTTATCTTTGAAAGTTCATATTGTTTAGAGCTGAAAAAAAACCATTCACTTAATCATATGCCTTGTCTTATATCCCTATTATTTCATCTTTTGTGGTATTTGTTGACAGTATCATTTGTCTAAAGTATCACATATCCATATTTCAATTCTCCTCACAAAACATATACTTTGTGATTATCTATTCTTCTATCAAATGTGAAGTGATTCTTACTTAACAAATTAATGTCTGAAAATCTAATTTGAAGGCTAAGGTAATAGGTCAAAAGTCCTCTGTTTTCCATATTAGCATCACCAATAATGTTGATAATGTTAATAATTTTCTTAGGTCCTTATGACCAAAGATAACAACTACTATATCTGGATATGTGAATTTTCTTATTTCAGAAAATGCAAATTTTGGTGTAGAAATATTAGTAAACATATTTCTTTTATAGTTTGGATTTTTTTAAAATTCTGTCTTTACATCTCACAGATAGAAAAATTAAAGCTATGTTCATCCTTTAAAAATATTTTTTAAATATTTTGACACAAAATGAAAGGGCTAAAAAAATTAGAAAAGTGACCATAATAGTATTGACTGGTATTAAATTTCTTTGGTGTTAATCATTGTTTATGATATTATCAGTTATGTCAATTAATGTTAACATTTGCTTAATTGTAAGCATTTGAACCAAATGTATTGTAAGGTATTTCATTGGATCCTAGATTTAAAAACTCTTTAAAGAACATGTGGAAAATTGGAGAAATTTGAATATGAATTACATTCTATAACAAGATTCTATTTATGTTAAATTCCCTTTGCATTATAATTATGTAGAAGTCTGCCCCTTTTGTAGGAGATATATTGCTCAAGAATTTGAAGGTATCATGTGCCCTAAAGGCAACAATATACTTTCAAACAGTTCAGGAAGAAAGCTGTGAATATATGTGTGTGTATATATATATATATATATAGAGAGAGAGAGAGAGAACATAAATGTGGCAAATAGCTACAACTACTTAATCTACATGACAGAAATAGGGGTGTTCATTGTACTATCCTTTCCATTTTTATATAGGTTCAAAACTTTGCACACCAAAATTTGGGGGAGGGTTAATAAATACTGAAGATAAATTTACATTCTATCATGTTTGAGAAGAGCATAGAGGGACAATATCATATATCTAAGATAATCATTAGGTATGTGATTAGAAATGGTTCAGTAACTTGAAATAACTATTGAAAACATTGCATCAAAGTATTATTAGAGTTAGTCACTACCTTTGTATATCTGCCAAATTACCATTGTAATATGAATATTTACAAGAATTTTAAATATCTCTACTTCTTCAAGAAACTTCTCAAGTTCAGAAATGCAAGGTTCTTTTACTGACCTTTGCAAGCAATGTTCTGAAAATATCCATATGAATATACTGGCCAAACCAGGTCTATATTCAAGCACAGATTGATGTGCACAAGGAAAAGAATGTTTGACTAGGTCTAAAGATAATTCAAACAATTGCTTCTCGTTTTTTTTGCTAAGATCAAGTGTAAAGATAATCCAAACAAAAGCCCACCTGTACTAGCACTGTGCTTAATACCAACCAATCATCCAGATAGCAATTCTAAAAGCATCGTCACTCAACCTGAGAAAGACAAATATCACATGATCTCATTTATTTGTGGAATCTAATGAACAAAATGAATTGACCAACAAAATAAGACCCGAAGCAAGGAGGCATGGAGAAGACTGACGTACCTCGTACCTGGATGTGGGGTTGGTGAGATGAGAAGAGATAAACCAAAGAACTTATATACTTATATGCATAACCCATGGGCACGAGCAATAGGGTAGTGAAGACCTGGGCGAGTAGGGGCTGGGAGGAGGGGGGAAGGGGGGATATGGGAGATATCTGTAATACTATTAACAATAAAAATATATTTTAAAAAACAAAAATAAATAAAATAAAATAAAGGCATCATCACTGTAGGTCACATTCACTTTGAATATGTCCTGCTACACAGAAAACACTTATCACAAATTCACAACGAATAACAGGCAAATCCAATTGGAATGTATGTGACTGATTGTATTCCTCTCTAAAATTACGTCACCGTAACAATTCAAGAGTTGTGCTCTCTCTGCAAAACTTTTTCAGCCTTTTAAATATTTTTTTACTTTTATGAAAGTACAGTTGGCCTTCTTTTAAAAACACAGAAGTTAAACCTGAGTAGGAATTAGTGAATGAGGACTGAATAAATTACACAACAAATATTTGATCAGACCAGTCAGTTGGAGGGGGCGCATATTTTAGGAATGCCCCAAATGTGAACATGAGGAGGTAAGAGAAGGAAGTGTTTGACTTAACACTTAATTCAATTCCTCGTTATTGAATGTTTATTTAAACTCCCACTCACCTCTGAGTCGGTAAACTAGAAAAGCATTTTACATGTCATAAGATTGGATCTGAGTTCTGATATTAAACAAACTAAGTATGAGAAGAGAAATGGCAGAAAAGGTTAGTAGTTACAGAGCCTGTTGCCTCATTTTCTTACCTTCACTAACCAATCTGCTCCTTCGGTCCTGCAGAGACACGATTGACCATACGAAGATGAATAAGCCAGCCAGTGCTTTATCCAGAAATGTTCACAAGCCTTTGGTGAGTATTCCTTTCGCTGCTAAAAACCAAGCAACTAAGCTGCTCACTGCATTTCCACTTTTTTTATGACTGATCCAATGGAAAAAGAGTTGTTTTTGCTCATCTGATTTGTTCTAAAGAACAGTGGGAAGTCCCAGAAAGGAGGGGGAGGTAATAACTGACAAACCCAAACCGAACCACAGAATGGTGTTTCTTCCCCTTTTTCAAAAAATGAAACCTATCTATGAAACTGTCTCTTGTTAAAATAGTTTATCACTACACATTATATAAGAGCCCTATCAATGTACATTTACTCTTATAACTAAATTCTCTGGGGCCTCTCTCCCAAAAGAGACCCAAAGTCAGATACAATTTAGAAAGTTCTCAATTTTATCACTAATTGTCATTTTTAAGAAGTATTATTTCTTAACTGTACTCAAAGTTTTTAAAAATGCAAGTTAAAACCATTTTCTCTCTCAAATTAACAAAAGTAAAAAAAAATCAGTGAAACACTTAGTGTCAAGGTTTTGTATAAACAGGCACTCTCATATACTATTGGTGAGACTGTAAACATGTTTAGGGCAATTTCCCAGTCTCTGTCAAAGTATTTGTTTTAATATTCAAATCCTTTTACCCAACAATTTCATTTCTATAAATTTATCCATGTGATATATTTGCACCTGTGCACAGACATGTGAAAATATATTTGTAGCATCATTGATTAAGAACGTAAACAAGCCCTAGCTGGTTTGGCACAATAGATAGAGCATCGGCTTGTGAACTGAAGGGTCCCAGGTTCAATTCCAGTCAAGGGCACATGCCCGGGTTGCGGGCTCAATCCCCAATAGGGGGAGTGCAGAAGGCAGCTGATCAATGATTCTCTCTCAACATTGATGTTTCTCCCTTTCTGAGATAAATAAAAAATTTTTTTTTTAAAAAAAAAGAACGTAAACAAGTGGAGGAAAATTCACAAACAGGACATTGGCTAAACAAATGAGAGAATATCCCTATTGTAAAATACTATGCAGTTGTTAGAGTGAGGTAGTTTAATCTCTAATAATAAGAGGAAATCTCCAAAATACATTCTTTAGTAAGAACATAATATAGTCCAATTTGTATTTTTAAAGGCATTTGCTTATACATAGAATGTTTCTACAGATATACTGAAAACTAAAAATAAGCAATTGCCTTTTGAGAATGAATCTTTTTTTTTAATTAAATCTTTATTGTTCAGATTATTACATTTGTTCCTCTTTTTTCCCCTCATAACTCCCCTCCTCCCAGTTCCCGCCCCACCCTCCGACCTCACTCCCCACCCACC